AAAATTATAATAACAACATTATATTGTCATTATTTTAAATTTATTTAACTGTATTTCACAACAATGTTTCTCTATAGTTTCATAAATATTAATTAATCTACTTGAAACAAAGGGTGATAAAAAGTATTCATATATAAGTAAACTAGTAAAATGTAAAAATTAAAATTAACTACTAATACATTTTACAAAATAATTTTTTTTTACTTAAATAGTTATTGTATATCACATAAAATATATGTAATATATAAACTATATATATTATATATTTTATAAAGACGAATAGTTTAGTATATTGTTTAATAATAAAAAAACAGTTTAACACTGAAATATATAATTGATTATGACTAATTTATTTTTTATAATATTTATTTATTATATGTTCCATGGTAATTGTCTCTATCATTAATATAAAATAAAATCAGAGCTCATTTTCTATAAGAATCTAATAACTAGATGTTAACATATTTTTTCGAATACTTTAGTTGACCTACGTTTGAAATCGTTATAAAGAATAACTTTTGTGTTTTTAATATTCTTTAATTCAACAATATTATTTTAGTACTACAATAAACCTCGATTATCCAAACCTTTGTTAGACAAACCTTCTATTATTCAAACGTCAATACACGTAAATCGATGTATCCCAATGTACTATTATCCAAGCATATTGGTCGTTAAACCGATTTTATAATATTCATCTCAATTTATCATTAGTTTACTACATACGTACATATACACATAATGTGATAAATTGATAAATTTGTCAAAAAAGATATAACGTAAAATATAATATGTACCTTATGGTAATTTTTTATTCATAATAATTTGATATGCAATACTAACCATACTATAATACATATTATATAATATTATACGTATATTGAATATACGATTTTTTAAAAATTCACAATTTCCGAACTTTCACTAATCCAAACTAAACACAATCCCAAATAATTCAGATAATCAATTTTTTACTGTATTTTATAAATATTAAGAGTATATATAACTATATTTTCAACAACATAAAAGATTAGACGATTGAAAAACATAAAATAATTTAAAATAAATAACGAAACAGTTGAATTCAATTAAAATTTTAGTTTTTGTTAGAAAATAAAATACGTGAGATTTGGTAATTGTTTTAAAATAACAATTATTTGAAATATTATACAACCTGTTACGTTTTAAATTAATTTTAATTAATTTAATGACTTTATGGTCTATGTTCAATTTAAGTTTAAGATTCAATTTTCATAAATTACAATGTACGTTTGAAATATATATATAAATATATTTATAATAATAATGTGTAAATATGATGAGTAAAAATATTTAATTAAGCTTTAAACATTAAATTTCCATATTATGTTAAAATAACATGGTATGATATATTTCAAAACAGTATCTACGACTCATTTAATGATATTATATTAATAATTATCATTTTCCACACATAAGTATAGTTTATAGGTAATATTATATATCATAAAATAATGAAAAATATAAAATGATATGAAGGATTGTGTTAATTTGGAAGGTAAGTATGTAACTACAATACTACATTATATTTCAAAATATAGTACTGTACTAATGCTAAAATGATTTTAGAAATTATCATAACTACAATAATAATGTACTGAAATACAAACAAGCAATTTTTAAATATTTTTGAAGTTCTTAAATATATTAATTATGTTATTGTTTAATTTTGTAATGACGTTATATAAGTATAACCGAATAATATTTACATGAAGAAAATTAAGTACAAATAGTGTAATTGAGCAACATGTGCGACATTTCACAACGACATGTCGAGAGTCAATTTAATTGTTTAATAAAAACACCTTAAAATGTAATGAAGAAAAATCCGGGTCATGGCTGTCCAAGCGAAAACTATCCGAGTTTTCAATAATGATAGTAATTTTTGGCATGTATAAAAACAACTATTGAAATAAAAAAAATAAAAAAAATATACATTAATACATTCGGAAAAAAAGAGTGAACTTATTATTTTCTTAATTTTTATACCACAATAATTGTTATAAAATTAATTATTTATATAAAACTATTAATAGTTATTTACATGTTTTAATAAATTGTATTGACAAAAAAAAATATATTTAGAACAATGTAATTGATTTTAATGATATAAAATTAAGGGAATAATTTCAAATAAAAACATCAATAAACGTATACATCAGTAATTTTTCGTATTATAAACCAATTAATCCGATTTCATTATATTATTTCATTATTGTAGGCACTTTAGTATTAATAATTACGTTATATTATTACCGTTAATAAGTTATAAAGTTAAATTATTTTCATTTAACTGAAAACTGAGCACAAAAATCTATAATTATGTAAATACAAATCCTAATTTTAAAATAAAACTAAACTCTCACTGAGAAAATAGATTTTTTCAATCGTAAAAACATATAATTTTCTGTAAGGTTAACACTAAACATTTTTTTTTTTTTTTTTTTTTCATGGATCGTATAAACTCAGCGCTTACCTTTTATATTATATTGATATTAATCAAATTATATTAATGAAAAGAGAATATAATTTAAATAAAATTATTTAATTAATAATAATATACACAATTTCAAAATATAGGAACACCTCTCTAGTTATTTGGTGTAAAAAACGTGTTTAATGTAGTTCGAGTGTAAACAGTATGAAGGCTATTCATTCGTATTCTATTTAATTAATTTCACATTACTGTAAAATACTAATATACTTAGTAGGTACTTAGGTACAAACGACATACCTACATACCATAAAATGGGTGCCTACCTTTGAAACGACGGTTGCCAATCATGCATAGAATTTCGTGCGATTCGGCTCAAGAATGTGGATTCACCACTAACATATCGTCCGACCAAATCAAATGTGAATTTAATTGTCTGTATGCTATTAAGCCATATAAAAATGCATAAATATAACTAATTGCAAATAAATATCTCAATAGCAGTGTAAAATTCGAACAGTTCCAGAACACAACGCATCGGAATACCACTTGTCCAGACATATTGATTTTATTCTCCAAGTAAGTAAATTATTGTTTTGTTTCAATAGGTATCGTTAATCCACAGTTATTAATATTTATTATAGTACTATGTCATATCGATCGTCACGTTTATGTATTTTATTAAGCTTTTATTCAAATGGTGTAAATAATGTCGTTTAAAATATTACTATCGACTAACATTTATTCAGTTTTTATTGACATTTTTAGTCAAATGCTTTTGGAATTTACAATTTTTCCTCAATCCAATAAATTACATACACTATTTAAATAATAAATATAAATTTATATTTATATATATAAATTTGTAATGCTAACTTGATCGATCTTTTCGCGAAGTTTACAATTAGATAACTGAAATATAATCTGTGTTATGAGTTAGTAGAAAAATCATTTAAGCAACTAAATAAGATTATATATAATATTTCTATTATTATTTTTGTCTTATTTTTAAAAGAATAATATAATAAAATTATCATGATATTAAAATGAATAGGTAAAAAAATAAAAACAATCTAAGAATATAACACAATTGTAAAATACATTTATTATAAAATTATTATTTATCAATTATTATTCTATCTTAAATTAATTTTACAAAATACTCGATTTATAAAACAAAATTAAATAAAAATGTATTTATTTATTTTGAATTGAAGTTATAATATGGTGATCATTTTGTATAAAATAGAAATAAAGTTGTTTTTCATCATTTAAAATATGTTAATCTGTCAAACGTATAAAATATAACAAACTTTTGAAAATCTTAAGAGTTATTTGAAAGAAAAAAAAATATTATATGACGTTAACATAATTATATGAATACATATTAGGTTCCTTACTGAGAAATTCAATGAAAAACTAGATAAAAACAAATATTTTTAATGCCATGCAGCTATTATTAAAATTATAAATGTCAAATTTAACCAATTTTAGACTAAAAAATGATAATAAAGATGATAAATTTACTATTTATACAATGTCTTAAAATTTCAAGTGTTGATAAAAATAATATAGAAGTACAGAGTAACAATAATTAAAATATATTAATCATCGTAATGAATAATATGATACAACAATAAATATTAAACTAAAAACATGATTTAACTTACTTCAAAAAATTGAATATTTAAGATTTTATATAAAGTCTGATTAAAATAATTAAAAGTAGTAAATTCAAGTAAACAAGACTAAAAATTCAAAATTGCATATTAAATATAGAAAAAATATTATTAACAATAAAGTTTAAGTTTATAGTTGAAATAATTTACTTATTTTTCAGTAATTATTTTGGAACATAAAAATATTATGAAAATGATAAAAAATAAAGTTTCAAGATTTTTTTTAAATAAGAAACTAGGATAAGAAATGATGAAATCCCTATTTCTATTACAACCAAAATTGAAATTTTAATTTCTTCCTAAATATATAAACAAAATACTATGGTAATTTATAAAATGAATACATTTAAATAAATTTATAATATTAATGAACATGATATTCATATATTATTGTTAAATTAATTATATTAAAATAAATTTAGTTTATAACAAATTATTGTTAAGATAATTATTATCTGAATATAATTAATTTGAAAATAAAATATATAATGTTTTATTTTTCAATTTTTTCAACGCGATTTTAGTATCAAACTTGAATAAAAATATGAAATAATAATAAATAACCAATAACGGTATTCACAATAAATTTGAACATAGTTTTTAATCGATAGACTACAAATGATTATGTTAGTGGTAGATAAAAATAAATTAAAAATTAAATAATATGAAAAACCTAATGTTAACAGTATTCAGTCAACACAAAAATTTCTAAAATGATTAAACACTAATTATTTATTTTTTTTTATTGGTTTTCTTAATGTTCATAGTTAATGTCGAAAATGCAAAAAATACGTTAATATTTTTGGAACCCTTCTTTCTAAAAAAAAAAAAAATGTGATATTACATCTAAATTTCAAAATTAATTAAATAAAACCATAGAATAATTAAAAAGTATACTCATATTTCTCAATTAATTAAAAATGTGATATATTTTTTAATATTATTTCTAAATTATAATTTTTTGATTTAATTATTATTACATAATTAGCGTTTAAATATTATTTCATGTATTTTATAAACGCTTAATTATTAATTTATTTTATAACAACAATTATTTTATGAACTTAATTATAATTTATTATTCACACTTTTAATTTAAAGGGTTTCCGTTAAATTCAAAATGTATACCTATTAAATAATGAAGGTGTATAATTAAGTAATTTAGAAGAAAAATTAAGAAAGTATCATTCAAAAAGGAACTTATTCTTGTTGTAAAATAGAAACACATTCCTGTTACTTGAAAATTTATTTTCACTATCTAAACGATAGAAGTAATTTTTTATAAACGACTTTTCAACCAAAAATATTAGCCCAATTTTTAAATTTAATACCTCTTCTGAAATATAATTGGACTTGAATTAACCTTTGAATTTGTTTTGATATTTGATCATTTACAATTACAATAAATGCTAAAATTCATAGTGAAAAACTAACAAAATTTTATGTAAAATTCAAAATTTTTAACAAAATTGATTTAATTTTGGTATTTGCTATTATTCAAAAAATGTTTAGTGAAAAAATTTTAAATTTTCATCAAATATTTAAATTATTAATGTTTGATAAGTTACATAAAACTATTAACAATTATGGTAAAACGATTTTCTTCAATGATCAAAGTTTAATTATTTTGTCAGAAGATTCATTCGCTTAGCTCTATTTTATTATTTAATATTAATTATTAATTAATATTAAATTAATATTATCTATGTAGTATATTATAATAGTAATTTAATAGTAAATGAAAAAGTTATTTTGATGCCAACATTAAATAATTTCTAAACAACATTATTATTAGAAAATCTAAAATAGTGTGTATTTAGTTTTTAATTTTTTTGTTTTTTTATAATACGAGAAACAGAATATTTACATTATAAACTTTCCTCACTTTTTCCCATTTCTCATTCTAATAATTGGAAAGAAACGCGTTTTAAGCTTCATTTCTATGGAAATAACATGTTTCTTTTCAACACTGTTTAGAAATATGATACAAAAATAAGTTTAATTAATTAAATTATATTTTAAAACTGTATTTTATACAATTAATAAAATATTTTTTATGACATTTTTATTGTATTTTAAGATGGGTTTCAATTTCCTAAAACTTTACTGTTCTACTGTATTTTAGGTATCGAGTGTTTCTCTATATTCAGTAAATAACTGTAATAAATAATTTTAATTTTAATTTAATTTAATTATTATTGTATACGAACCTAACGCAGTAATGCGATCTTCCAGCCTATATTGTTAAATAATTTTATAATTATTATGTTTCTATTAGTAATATCATATATTGTACTAATATTTAATTATAATTTTAATTTATTGAGTTGACAAAAATATATCTACTTAATAACAATATGTTTCATGTTACAACTTATAAATGATTTTTAAATTACAACTAAATAACTAAAACATTTTGTTTTTGTTTAAATATCTAATTTTTTTTTTTTTTTTTTAATTAAAATTCAAAATTTATGTAAACAATTTTTTTTTTGTTTTGTAATATTGAAATGTTTTGTTACTTCATAATCAATTTATAAAAATTATACAGAATGGAAATCAAATAAAAATCAACAAAATCTAAATTATTTAAAAAAAAAATATTCTATAACAATAAAAATATATATTTATATGTGTAAATATTTTGAAATTAAATGTTTTAAATAAACACCTAATTAATTTTTATCAATAGTCTACTATCTATTATAAATTATAAGATAACCATTTAAAACTGTAATTATTTTATTGATATTTAAAACAATTTTTTTTTTCAGGATGAACTCAATGCGATTACTATTACTTCTAACATTCGTTTTGTACGAAACACAGTGTGCGCCCAGTATAAAGCCCTTAAAGTTTTTAAAATCCTTATTATCAAAACATTTTCAATCAACTACTGAACAGCCACTTTTGGAAGAAGAAATATACCCCGCGTATAAATGTGATTCTATTGAAGAAGGTGCCATCAATGATGCCGTTATTGAGTGGAATCGCCAAGTGTTTTTAGTAAATGAAAAACCTATTTTAATAGAAGTTGGAAATGTTGAACCAATTCAAAATTTAAATCGTGATAAAGACCTTGCCGTAAATCCAGAAATTAATCCCGAAGTAAACTGTGATGAAAATGAAGAAGTAAATCTTGAAGTAATTTCCGAAGAGGATCTTAAACAAAATCCTGAATTAAGTCCAGAAGTAAAACATCAGAATGTGTATGAAAAAGATTTAAACACAGAATGGTTATTTGGTGAGAATACAAGTGAAAGATTACCAGAAATCGATGTAACTGTTGGTGTAAGTTCGATTAAAGATAAAATTATTAATAAAATTAACATGATCAAATCGAAGTTAAAATTTAAAAACCGTCCAGTCATACCAATCGTAGAATTGGTTGAAGAAAACAAGACTAATCAAGAAATTTCTTCTGTAAGACCAACCACTACTTTGGAACCCATCAGTATTAAAAAACAACCCACTACTGTAGAGTACATTACCACTGTACAACCTGTTACTACTACACATCAATATACCACAACTGTACAACCCATTACCTCTACACATCAATATACCACAACTGTACAACCAGGCACTTCTGCACAACCCATCATTCCAACACAATACACTAGTACTGTAAAACCCGATATTTATATGCCCAATGTACAAATAAATGGTGGGATCGAATCTCAAGTACCAATCATTACTATTCCAACTAAGTATCAAATACCTTTGCAACAACGACAAATCTACAACTCAGACCCACGTTATCCACTATGGCTTAATAGCTGTCCCCCACCTCTATCTCATCAGATTTGTTTAAGCCAAAATTCTTATTACGCAACGAATCCAATTTACGCAAATACATGGGACGCAAATCAATTCACCCTTGATAATGTGCCCTATAACACTCCCGACCACCAAAACCAAAAAATTAACAATGGATTAACTAAAGTCATTAACTACATCAAAATCGATGCAACCCAACCAGTGAATCAAGTTAAACCGAATCAAGATGAACAGAGGATTCATTATATGTATGACGATTCCGTTTATCAAAATCCTACACCTTTTTATTATGTTCCTCAGGCGGTCAACCCGGAATCACAGCCAGAGATTGTATTTCCTAGCTCCGATGATGTTTATTCTAAGTCAACTATGCAACCGATCGTTGTGTATTCTTCCGATGAAAGTATACTACCTGTTAATCAAGTAGATCAAACACAAGCAACATACAATTTGGACCAGCTCTTAGAACCCGCAACAGTTAATTCTTATGTTAATGACCCCAAAAGCCCGTCGCGGGGAGATATTCCAATCGGTGAAGATTTCAACTCCAATACCAATTACGATCAATTAGAAGGAGACAGTTCTAAATATACGTTGAAAGAACGCAGACACGTTGGTCACTACAATGAGTTGGTTTCCAAGAAAAATAATCAAAATGTACCTGTTGCGGTATCAGAAATCTCTTCGAGTAAACCAGTATCTGAACAAGCTGAAACCGAAACTTCAGCTAATAAAATTGAAACTCCTACAGTTACCGAAACCGAAAAACCAGCCACTAAAATCATCGAAACACATATTACCAAAATTGAAAAACCTGTCGTCAAAATTGAAACACCCGCAATCACTGTAACCGAAATATCGCATCCTAAATTCAACAACGTCGACGTGGACGTTTAATATAATATTCATGGATGCCAAAATTAAAGTGATTTAATTATTAATTATACTATATGTAAATTATCTTATTTATTCTGACACAATAATCGTTTTAAAAAATTATATGCATTCTGTATCAAAACTATTTTTCAACCAAATGTTTTCAAGTTCAAAGTAGGTTAAATATTGTTGTTTGAGCAAGCCAGACTGATTTACAACTATGATGTTTTTTATGTATAATTATATTACATAGTAAACGCAATCCCCGGTGTAAATAGGCGCCAGATTGAAATGCATCTAAACCACACAATAGAAACGCATAATAAGCCAATTTTTATGAACAATAGTTATCATACGTGAAAAACCTCTAAAAATTCGTTACAGTCTGGCTGATTGTGTATAAGCCACTTAAATTATTAATTATACAAGTATGCTCTTGTTACGTTTTAAAAAATAAAAAATAACAATTTATTTGATCAATATAATATAAATTAAATAATTATGTCTGTTCTTTCCAAAAATATTAATTTAGATACATAAAAAATATGTTACTGTTCATTTATGATATTTGATTATAATCACTGTAGTGTATTACTTACAAATAATAATATTTGTATTTACTTATTTGTATAACACTAATATATTATATTCTTAAGTGTATATTTATTTATTATACTCTAATAAAATACAAATATTTTTGTAATGAACGTTGAAAAAAAATTGTTTTACTTATTATCATAACTAATTTAACTTATAATAATTTAGTTATTGATAATTCAATTCAAAATAAATTATTATGTTTCTAATAAATCAAATAAAATGTTTCAAAATTATTTTTTAAACTATGAAATGTACACGTGGGTGCAATACATCTCAATTATAGAACATCAATCTCAACAAAGTAAATTAATGTCATATAAATATTTCAAAATGCTTAATATTAATTATATATAAGTAAATTACATTTTATAATATTAAATATTCAATGATATTAATTTAATATATATTTTTTTTTATATCTATACATTTTCAAACTAGTAATAATTATTAAATGAAATAATTATAGCTGTTGTTTTGACAATCAATAATAATCATTGGATGACTTGATAACATGTGGACAATTATCCACCGGTAATAAACTAAATAAAATTATTAAATAAAAATAATAACATTATATTATTGAATTACAAATAACACCATAAAAATAAACCTAAATTATTAAATTATTCAGTAACAAAATATTGAAAAATATGAAAATATGATATCCAATTATTACATTTTTGACATATAAAATTGAAATTATGAATTCAATAAGGTATTAAAAATGTTTGAATTAAATTTTTTATGTGAACTTTTTTTTTTTAATTTCTATTGTATAAAATACAATAAGAGAAATATATATGGCATATAAAGTATACCATGTAATATCAAAATTTAAACTAAACAGTATGCACACAATTATAACTAATTCACGGTATACAAATTAAATGAGAATAGCTATCTGTCAACAATAAAATATTTTGTGGTTTTGATGGTGTATAATAACAATAACAATAATATGCATTCGCGTACCTATAACTGCAATTTAATAATAAAAAAGCTGTTTCATGATAGGAAATGGATATTTGATGTTGAATCGAAAACGATTATAAGCAGATAATTGGCAACGGGATGAAAACGAGAGTGAAAATTGACTGCTTGCCCGTTATGACGTTTTGGCACCTAAATACATGGTGAGGAGTGGTTCCGACTACCGTAACCGTATACATAATAATAATATGATAACATATGCATGTGCATTGCACTGAAGAAAACAATGTAAAAGCAACTATCAGCCAGGTTCATCTTTTCAGGTCATAATATACGACGAAAAAGAGTAACCACCACTGTTGCGCTAGAAAACGCGGTGGTGGAAATAATGGAAGGAGCAATTATATAAAAAGTGCTGTGAAAGCGGATCGTGGACCAAGTGATATTCAATCGCCTACTGAGCGATGTGTCGTGTTACAGTTTCTGAATAAAACGCGAATCGTAACTTTTATAATTAATACCAGTCGTTCGATATATCGTTTCGAAAAGTCGTCGCTGTAAAAAAGCTTAACACCAAATAATTTTCATATTTAATATTTATTATTTTTTTTAAATTTTTTTTTTTTTTTTACATAAAAATTCGTTTAGACGCAAAGTGTACGCACAGATAACATCAGTCAAAGGTTTGACAAGATGACTACGTGGTGCTCCGCAGTAATGGTTAGTAAAAAGAAAAATTACAACAAAGTCCTTAGTAACCCTATATATACACTTAAATATCAAAATGAATTTACCTTCTTTTTGTTTTTCACGTCATCAAATAATTTAATTGTTGTTATTTCAAACGTAATTCAAAGTTTAACTTCTCGTGAAATTATATCACAATAATATTATCTCATCATAACGATTTGCAATGCAGTTAATAGTTGAATATCGGTTACAAATGCGCGGCAATGTGTTGGTTCATTTTGTTTTTCTTCAAATGATATCGTAAATGTCATGCGACTCCATAAACTGTTCTAACTATATCAGATTTCATCCATTCATCGTGTGTTGCAGATCATCCATATGTTATTTTCTCTTTGTCATTAAAGGGGGATTTGGACTTTTAATTTTCCGAAAACCTCAAATAATATTAAAAAAGAATAGTATAACAACAAAACGAAAGTATTAAATAACGTTTATGTAAAGAGAACTGTTATTTAAACAGTAAAAACCGCATGCGTCCACATGCGAAACACACGTTATCCGGTAACGTTCCGCGTTTAAAATGTGTGTGTCATTATTAGGTTTATCTCATATATTCAATCACTGTCGTAAAATATAACACAACAGTAATAATTGTTATCCCGATTTATATATATTATATTGATTCAGAAGAGTCAACCCAAATTATGGTCACTTCTATTGGAATTATAGCTCCGATTTTAGTATTGAATAACGTTTATTTTATTCTCTGTACATTATTGTCTCTGAACATTTGATTATTTTTTTTTCCAAATAATATGGTGACAGTGTCATAGTCAAATGAAACATTTGTGAATTATTATAAATTATTTAAAATGCACACTTTAAATCCTGTACTATAAATTATGATATTATTGTTATTAATCAAATTACTACATTATCCTCATTATTTAGTTAAAGCCCATAGGTACATAAACTTAAAGTAAAATGATTTTATAATGATTTTATTCAATTAACAATCATGTTTTAACTCTCTACATTTAAAAAAAAAAATCCTTTAATCTTTTAATTGGATGATTTCAATTTAATATTTCAACAATTTTATTCAATCGTTTTCGTTAAGTATATAACTTAATAAATTCAATGAGTTTATGAAGTACATTTTCAAATATATATATTTTAAAATCGTTATTTAAGAAGTTAAGGACCATTGACGATTAAATAAATATAATTATTATAATTTGTATTTAAAAAAATTTAAAAATCAAATGAATAAAAAGACGTTGAATAAATTGCCTCAAAATATACTAATAATTGATTGAATATTATAAAATCATATTATATATGCGTAGAATTTATATTAATTAGCATATCAATAAATTTTAAATTAATTCTTATATTTAAAGCTTTAAACAGATTATGAGAATACGATGATTGTATATAAAAAACTACCATGCAATGATTAGGAGACAAATATCATTCTCATATAATATAATTTTTTTCAAAACAAAATCAAATAATAAAAATTACATTCAAAAACTAAAAGTACTGAGTAGCTAAAATAATGATTATTTATTTACTTTTACTGTGTTTTCAATATTTATTCAATCATAATAAAAAAAAAAATTATACGTGACACTTAAATACTTTAAAACATTATAAATTATATTATACAATATAAATAACGCTTTGACTTTTTAATTTAAATGGGTAATACTTTCTTACAAAAATAATAATCTAAGGTTATTATAAAAATGTTGCCTCTAAAAAAAAAGTTTTTGTTGTATCCAAGAAATGTAAAACTTTAAATTTAATCTTCAACATTTAAATAACCAATATTTTTTTTGCGTGAAAATCCATATGCACAATACTTGTATATTATATATATAAACTAAACAATACTCCGTTTTTAAACTTCGTTAACTAATCTTGAAACTGTCAAATCGAAAATAATGTAAAAATATATTGAGATATGACATTTTTGAATTACGTAGTAATATAATATATTGATTTCATGACAAGTGCAACTAAGTTATATTTATATATTTTACAAGATTCCCAACAGACGATAAAATAAAAAATACATCGCTATAAAATTTATATCATACTACATTTCTCACCTTACTCATAATTTTAAAAATAATGTATGTAGCATAATAATATAATCATCGATATTATGTTGTATACAATTTATTTTTAATTTAATTAATTTTTTTGTAAATTGTTTAATAATAAACACAGTACACTGATAAAACAAGTAGAATGGATCGATGGAAACTTGTATTGTATATTTTAATAATAATCTTTATAGCAGACAACATTAGGTTGAAACTATACTAAAATTAAACTAGTCAAATTCATCAAAATGGCCAATATTTATCAAGAAATAACACAATATTCTTTAACAAATATTATTTTAAGCCCATTTCTATACATTTTCTGTAATTTCTAATACTTGGTTTTTTCGCAAGCATGCATTGAATAATGAAAAAAAGTTATATTAAAAATAGTAGAAAAAAATCACTAGAGTACCAGATTTGCCTATACGATACGCCGTGTCCCTCTGGCTTCATAAAAACTATCAATTTAAATTATATAACGAATTCTGAACAATCAAATAAAATACGATTTTGACGGCCTGAAAAAAAAAACAAAGTGCGTAATAATTTAATAATGTATGTACTCGTAATTTAACAAATTATTTAAATTTATTTTTAATATAACGTTATTCTCAGCCATCTACAATAATTATTAAATCACGAAACCCGTGAGTGTACTAGAAAAATACAAAGTTCTATAATGTAATCAAAAAATTTAAAATCAATATTTTTAAATATAATATTATGTAGCATTTAAAAATACAATTTTACCTCTAAAAATTATGCTTACCAGTATACCGTATGTAATTTCTACTGGAATAAAAATTATGATAATTCGACGTAAAATGTTTTATTGAAACAACTGTTGTTAAATCAAAACGTTCACGTCTTCGCGTCAGTTGAGTATTTACTTAAAATCAAAAACACTGGTACGAGTCATTATTTAGAATGTGCTTATTGCGGTCGAGATGATGAAATATACATGAAAAAACAACAATACAGCTCTGTTCTGTAATAATCACTGTCTAACGCAAATTGTTCCTATAACTATAATGTCTTGAAATATTTCAACATAAATATTTATGTGGTTATATTTGTGTGTGCCGATGATCCGCAAATATTAATACAACGTCGTCTAAATACCCAAGTGAATGATAATCCATAAACAACTATATTTCGCCAAAAGAGCCTTATTGTTTTTCGGAAAATAGAAAAGCCAAAATTTATTATCACTTTTTTTTCACATTATAGCTGAAATTAATAAAATGATTGTTTGTAATAAGTGTTGGAATCAGCAGCTTTTGTTTACAATATTCGTACATATTTGTTATTCGTGACGAAGTTAATTTACTGCATCACGACCATTAAGGTACTTACATGATGTCGAACAATAAACGTTCCGAATTTTCAAATGAAAACATAAATGGCTAAACGCAATATTTGGCATAGAATACGCGAGCGACGGTTCTGATGTTTACCAGACATCCCGCAAAAATTACATTACCAATGAAAACTGTTCGAACTGCGTAGTAGTAATGTTAAGAAGTCGGTCTGAATGTGTTTTCGTTTGCAAGACTTTTGAAAGGTTTTAAATTCGATTATAATGACGGAGAAACGTTTCTTTTAAAAAGCCAATTAAATTCTCTACGACGAGGGCCACTAAAGATTAGAAAGAGAACATTTTACATTTGCAAATAAAACGCACGTTTTATAATTTACAAGGCAAGACTTTCGAGTGCGCGTATGTACCAGTTTTTATTTTTTTGTCAATAGAATTTAATATAACATATTATTTATACTTGTCTTAAGTTTTGCACTCGTGATTTTTCAAGTACAGCATCGGTCTCAATCTACGGCAGCTACCTTACCGATTCGAACTACATAATTGGGGTACGCATTCAAAAGATTCAAAGTCCGATCTAATTTTCCATTCGTTCCCGTGTCGTTATTGATTTATTATTTAGAAAGGCGAATTTTTCATCGGAACACAAACGTACATAATGTTACGTAGCCATCGACTGTTTGCATATTATAAAATATGATTATTAGCCACCGTAAATCGGAGACGCCTCGTCGGCGTTGTCATGTAGAGAGAAAAAAAAATTAATGTCGCGTACAAACGTAACAAACACTTTCGTACGATAATACAATAATAATTATTATTGTTCGTGTATTATGCCCATAATATTGCAGTACACGCAACGCCTATGAACATAATGTATCACATTATTCGACCGTATAGGTGCAATGACGAAAACGTTTGATTCAATAGTCTTATTGTAATAATAAATATACATAGATAATATTCGTTACGGTCGAACCGAGAAATAAATAGGCCGTCAGAACGAAATTATCGATGTTATTATGTGAAGTGACTGTAGGTACTAGGTAAGCGGACGACACGTGACAACCGAAAGCGCCTATAAACTCCTGTAGTACGCATTATACAATTTTATGATAATTACAATGAAAGTACATAATATTATTATTATAATACTTAAAGTCGGGAATGTTTACGTGAAGACCGACCGACGCGACAGTTATATAATGTTGTCGTATTAGTTTTCAAGAGATATTGGTTTAAGGACAATTTTTGAAATTATAACTAAGCTATAAGGTATAATAGCTGTCAACTGGGATGACAAAAAATTGTCGATAAAATACATAAGTCGTCACAATTTTTACCACGTTTCGGGTTGGACGAGATGGCTGCATGCCCATCGGCTATGATATCATACTTGCGCGAACCTGGTATTCGTCCTGATATCGAGTGCCTGGCAATATGCGAGTATAATGACGATATTATCGAACCGGTGTGTAACTCACGTGTAGCGTTCACCTCCGGACGACAAACGTCGTTGTTCGATCAATCGCAAAATTAAGTGTCACAACGATAATATTATTCGTTGCACGACGGACGTGAAACGATTAAGC